GCTTTCACCTTAGCCGCTTTTTCATATATTGTGGCATTAATCGGCGATGCGTTTCTAATATTTTTCGCGATATTTCACGTATGTCTCCCATAGGAAATGTTCGCGCGATAATTCACGGTAGTGAGAATCCGCGAGATATGCCGATATATATATATATATATATATATATATATATATATATATATATATATATATATCGGCATATCTCGCGGATTCTCACTACCGTGAATTATCGCGCGAACATTTCCTATGGGAGACATACGTGAAATATCGCGAAAAATATTAGAAACGCATCGCCGATTAATGCCACAATATATGAAAAAGCGGCTAGGTTGAATGCCATTCTGCACGTATGGACAAAAGCCCACGAAAGCCACCAACGGCACCAATGAACGAATCGCGACAAGTCCGGATATCAAGTGGATCACGTGATAAGCTCATATTATCTGATACGAAAATAAAAATACTTACGCTACAACTTTTTATTTGCATTCTGTCATTATCGATTAATCATTTGAATCGATATTTCAAACTATATAGATTAGATTTCATAATGCTAGCTCATTTTTTCCTTACATCTGTCTTACATGGATTTAATCATCAGTCATTCCAAGCAGTCAATTTTAAAACTTATCTCGCGATATAGTTGTGTGTTACAAATTTTAATTTACTGTGAAAATGTTTATAGAAATATAAAATTTTGTCGATAACGTCTGATAAGATTGACTGCGAAAATCGCCAACACAAATTATATATTATTTTCCAAATATTTACATAAAACGAATCATTTGATTAATCAAATGACACATTTTGTTAAGAGATTCCGTTAAATTTTTGCTTCTTGATTTTTCAACTGTGGTGAAACATGATCTTTTAATTCTCATTCAAATCTGGCAACTGTTGTCATGCTGCCAACATTTTATTTACTGGGAATCTATTCTTTACAAAAAGAACAGATTTCTCAATTTATAAACTTTTTTTATTTGAAAATAGATAGGGATATCGTATATTATGTGTGGACTTTGAGACATGCTCAAAATATGTATTTTACTAGGTGGGGTGAAAAGTAACCTCCTTGACCGCCAGAATGCGCCACTACTGCAAAAAAGTTTATGGTGCCTTGTAGTCCGTTCATATTTAGGCAGACATGCCAAGTGGCAGTGCGATACTGCCCTTAGTTTTGTTTTGAGAGCTGATTGTTGTTGACGTGTTTGCCATCATGTCGAGTATGGACAAAAACGATTTTCGTTCTCTCATAAAACATTATTTTTTGAGAGGCAAAACGGCGAAGGAAACAAAAGAAAAGTTGGATAAATATTATGTGGCTAATGCTCCGTCAGATTACACCGTCAAATATTGGTTTCGAGAGTTTCGTGGTGGCCGCAACTCCACTACCGATAAAGTCCGCAGCGGCAGGCCCTCCGATGCGGTTACCGAGGAAAATATCAAAAAAATACATGAAATGGTGTTGGCTGACCGGAAAGTGAAGGTGCGCGAGCTAGCAGATGCTACAAAGATTAGTACTGAGCGAACACGCCATATTTTGGGCGAGATTCTGCATAAGAAAAAAATTTTTTTCATTCCCA